CCAAGGCTTTGTCAAGCCGGGCCTTAAAAACCTCTAAGGATGGAGTTTCCACCATCTCCCTAGGTAACCCATTCCAGTGTTTCACCACCCTCCTAGTGAAATAATGTTTCCTAATATCCAACCTAGACCTCCCCCACTGCAACTTGAGACCATTGCTTCTTGTTCTGTCATCTGCCACCACTTTGAACAGCCTAGCTCCATCCTCTTTGGAACCCCCTTTCAGGTAGTTAAAGGCTGCTTTCAAATCCCCCCTCACTCTTCACTTCTGCAGACTAAATAACCCCAGTTCCCTCAGCCTCTCCTCATATGTCATGTGCCCCAGCTCCTTAATAATTTCCGTTGCCCTCCGCTGGACTCCCTCCAATTTGTCCACATCCTTTCTCTAGTGGGGGGACCGAAACTGGACGCAACACTCCAGGTGTGGCCTCACCAGTGCCAAATGGAGGGGAATAACCACTTCCCTCCATCTGCTGGCAATGCTCCTACTAATACAGCTCAATATACCATTGGCCTTCTTGGCAACAAGGGCACACTGCTGACTCCTATCCAGCTTCTCATCCACTGTAATCCCCAGGTCCTTTTCTGCAGAACTGCTGCTTAGCCAGTCGGTCCCCTGTCTGTAGCAGTGCATGGGATTTCCTTCCTTCCTTCCTTCCTTCCTAAGTGCAGAACTCTGCACTTGTCCTTGTTGAACCTTATCAGATTTCTCTTGGCCCAATCCTCCAATTTGTCTAGGTCACTCGGGACCCTTCCCTATCCTCCAGTGTATCTACTTCTCCCCCCAGTTTAGTGTCATCTGCAAACTTGCTGAGGGTGCAATTAATCCAATCATCCAGATCATTAATAAAGGTATTGAACAAAACCGGCCCCAGGACTGACCCCTGGGGCACTCTTCTTGATACCAGCTGCCAACTAGACTTGGAGCCATTGATCACTACCCGTTGAGCCCAACAATCTAGCCAGCTTTCTATCCACCTTATCGTCCATTCATCCAATCCATACTGCTTTAACTTGCTGGCAAGAATACTGTGGGAGACCGTATCAAATGCTTTGCTAAAGTCAAGATATATCACATGCACTGCTTTCCCCATATCCACAGAGCCAGTTCTCTCATCCTGGAAGGCAATCAGGTTGGTCAGGTATCACTTGCCCTTGGTGAATCCAAAGCTTGCAGCCTTTCTAAACAGTGTCAGGGAGATCTGAGGGACAGGCCATTGAGAAAGACTGACACAGGTACTTAGGACAAATGGCTACTTGTGATGAAGTGGAAAATGCCCTAGTGTTTGCATGAATACTGTGCGCGCCTCAGTTTTCCCTATGTGTTGCACAAGTATCTAGGTGGTGGGATAAGGGTGTGTGACCTTTGCAGATACCCCGAGAGGGAAGGTGCAAGTGCCTTCTAGCTCCCTGGGCCCAGACAATAGATGTATCTTGGCAAGTGATTGCCGGGCCGCATCCTCTGCAAGAGCCAGCTGGAGGAATTGGAGAACAAAGGGAGGTGGAGGCCAGGTGACCGGTTTGCCTGGGGAACAGCATACAGGATGGAGGAGGGGCAACTGGGTGTGACTGAAGGTGGGCTGCTGGAGGCTGGTCAGACTCCTGGTTTGGGACTCAGGAGGACAGCCCATGGCTCTGGGTCTCCTCAAGATGAACTTTGCTGTAACTTCCTGCTTTCTGTGCTAACAAGATTCTGCTCTATGCTGTGTTCCAGACGACTAATAAACCCTTCTGTTTTACACCGCTGGCTGAGAGTCACTCCTGACTGCTGAAGTCGGGGGTGCATGGCCCCTTTGGAGGGCGTGTAAGGTTTCCCCAGGTGTCCTATTCAGGTGGCTCACTGCAGGGAGCTTATGGCGTGAGACAGGGATGCTGAATGCTCCGAGGTCAGACCAAGGAGAAGCTGAAGCCCAGGAGGCTTGTCCTAGTGAGAGTGTGCCCCGAGGGGTAGTCACACTGCAAGAGGGTCCTGGTCCGGGGGCTAGTCTTCACCAGACTCACTGCAGCTGCGCTAATGTAGGGCAGTAGTGTAAACGCACTATGAAGACCAGAGAGCGCTTTCCTGTCAGCATAATTACTCCACCTCAGCGAAAGGTGGAAGCTATGACAGAATGAGAGTGTGTCCCACTGACTTAGCGCCGGTGCGGACAGCTCGGGGGGGTGGCTTTTTCATATCCGTGACCGACATAAGTTACATCAACTTAAGCGGAAGCGTAGACAAGCCCTGAACTTCATTCAATGGTTCCAGAGCACCAAGCCCGTGCATCCATGAACTACTATGGGGGGAAAAAGTCCCCAATGCCTCAAACCAACACCGTATACCTGGCTATGCCCTCTCACCTGCTTTTATACTTGTTTTATTAGGGAAAGACTTCTGTACCAGCGTCTGCCTCCACAGTACTCCCACTGAAATCCTATTGCAGCCAGACACTCCTCACCCTATTCTTCCTCCTGAATGCAAGTTTTAGTTTAAAGACATAGGCCCTAAGTCTCCACTGCCTTTCATTTTGTGAAGTAATTTACACCTCTCCAAACTGAGTGCCAAGTGTGTGAAAAACGCTACCATTCCAATTTGGCATGAGTTAACTCCCATTTTCACTCACTTTGCACAAGTGTGAAAGACTACACAAGGTGAGAGGGAGGGGGAAACTAAGCCAATAAATATTAATGAAACAGGACCAATCAGCTACCATGATCCATCCCTCTGTCAGCTCCACTTTAGATGACTGCAGTGGAATTTTACATGTGGTGATACTTTAAATCCAGTAAAAAATGAATTCTCGTGCATCAGCTCACTTGTTATGTTATGATTTTATTTTTAAAAAATCTTTTTATGAAGGCCAAATGACAATAAAACATTAACATACTACACTGTACGTTACTTATTCCGGATCAGCTAGCACATCACACCTGCACTTCATGATCTGCATTAGCTACCTTTTGATTCTGAATGGAATTTAATGTGCCAATTTTGATCAGGTGGGATTTTCAGAAGTGACTTAGAAGCATAAGTGCCATTGAAAGGCAATGGGATTTGTGCTCCTATGTTATGTAGGCATTTTTTAAATGCCATTCTAAATGGCTGAGGTGTGGCCTACAAGAATTGCATCGTTCTCCCTGCATAATTCTGCCATAGCTGAAATCAAAAAAGGAGCTTAAGCTGTAAATTCTTTGGTGTAAAAGGAAGGGCACTCCTGACAGTGTCTTTTGTATGAGATCCCCCAAACTTTGGAACTCATTCTCAACCTTGGTCCTAAATAACCTTAATCTGCTGATATTCAGGTTGTAGTAATAATGCTTTCTTTGCTCAGAATGTGAGGAAGCCAAGTTCCCCATGCTGAACACTTGCCAGACTGCTGTGAGGTGAATCAAACAATGAATCCCATAAGCCCTTAGCTTATGGGGGCTGGGCAGATTTTAGGTCTGTAGGTCTTTGGGTCTGTCAAGGTTCCTCCCCCACTCTGAACTCTAGGGTACAGATGTGGGGACCTGCATGAAAAACCTCCTAAGCTTATCTTTACCAGCTTAGGTCAAAACTTCCCCAAGGTACAAAATATTACACCCGTTATCCTTGGAATGGCCGCTACCACCACCAAACTAATACTGGTTACTGGGGAAGAGCTGTTTGGACGCGTCTTTCCCCCCAAAATACTTCCCAAAACCTTGCACCCCACTTCCTGGACAAGGTTTGGTAAAAAGCCTCACCAATTTGCCTAGGTGACTACAGACCCAGACCCTTGGATCTTAAGAACAATGAACAATCCTCCCAACACTTGCACCCCCCTTTTCCTGGGAAATGTTGGATAAAAAGCCTCACCAATTTGCATAGGTGACCACAGACCCAAACCCTTGGATCTGAGAACAATGAAAAAGCATTCAGTTTTTACAAGAAGACTTTTAATAAAAAATAGAAGTAAATAGAAATAAAGAAATCCCCCCTGTAAAATCAGGATGGTAGATATCTTACAGGGTAATTAGATTCAAAACATAGAGAACCCCTCTAGGCAAAACCTTAAGTTACAAAAAAGATATACAGACAGAAATAGTTATTCTATTCAGCACAATTCTTTTCTCAGCCATTTAAAGAAATCATAATCTAACACATACCTAGCTAGATTACTTACTAAAAGTTCTAAGACTCCATTCCTGTTCTGTCTCTGGCAAGAGCAGCACACAGACAGACCCTTTGTTCCTCTCCCTCGTCCCAGCTTTTGAAAGTATCTTGTCTCCTCATTGGTCATTTTGGTCAGGTGCCAGCGAGGTTACCTTTAGCTTCTTAACCCTTTACAGGTGAGAGGAGCTTTCCCCTGGCCAGGAGGGATTTCAAAGGGGTTTACCCTTCCCTTTATATTTAGGACAGGGTCTATAGCAGGGATCGGCAACCTTTGGCACACGGCCCATCAGGGAAATCTGCTGGAGGGCCGGGACTGTTTGTTTACCTGCAGGGTCCACAGGTTTGGCCAATCACAGCTCCCACTGGCCATGGTTTGCCATTCCAGGCTAATGGGGGTGGCAGAAAGTGGCGGCCAGTACATCCCTCGGCCCACACTGCTTCCCACAGCCCCCATTGGCCTGGAACAGCAAACCACAGCCAGTGGGAGCTGTGATTGCCTGAACCTGTGGACACTGCAGTTAAACAAACCTGCCTGGCCCACCAGCAGATTTCCCTGATGGGCCACATGCCAAACATTGCCAATCCCTTGTCTGTCGGCATGCACTCCAGATGCTGTGTCTCATGCCCCTTTTGGAAATATGGGCACCATGTCCCAATTCCCTACGTCCTGAAATTAGTGTAAACCTCCCCACCAGCTGTTGCACATTCCCCAGTATCCCACTGAAGGACTGGGCCTTTTGGTTTACAGTTTACCTCTTCAGAGACACATGGTAGGACACAGGCTTAGCAAAAGGTTTCTAACACTATTACTGTGTACATAGGAGATAAGGCACAAGCAAACACAGATATTTAGAAAACAACAAATAATCCAGAATGCAGCTGACCTTTCCCTTGGGAGTTCTTAAGGTCTCTCTGTGTTCAGGTAGGCAGGGTTCCCCCAACATCAGGCTCCTGCAACAGCTTCCATTGGCTTGAACTGATGAAAATAGCCAAAGACTCTGAGGAGAGCAGTTCCTGCCCTTAAATTATAACCTCCCAGTCTCCTGTCATATGACCTCCCAATCAGCCTCAAAAGGATGAGCAGACCCATGTGACTTAATTGCCAGGCAACCTCTCCCCTGGGAAAAGAAAGCCATTTTTACAGGGTATTTCTCTTTCAATAGAGGACCATCCAGATTTAATCACCCACTATTGTTAGTCCGATGCCACTACCCCTCGGAATTGCAGAGCAGCATGAAAGTAAGGGAACAACAGAGAAGACAGCAAACCCCACATTCAGAGTGGAGTCTGCAGTCTGACATAAATACATATCAAGAGCCCCCAACATCAAACAGAATGCTTAATCATACATAGACAGATTCTCGAAATCAGCACAGGGAGGAGATGGTATTGTTGGAGAGGGTGAATTATTTCTTTGTTAAATTTATTCTTTTGGCTGGTTAATGTTGGTGAACATGTGTTGCCGGATTTGCTGTTTTGTACAAGGGCAATTTGGTTGTTGTTTTTTTTTAAGTTCTGCCAAAAGCAACATGGCCAAAATTTTCAAAGGAAATACCTTAAGTTCCATATTTGGGCACCTCAGTTAGTGGTATGATTTTCCGTGGTGCTAAGCACTCACAGTACCCTTTAATGTGCTCTAATTTTAGATATTGAAAAGTATGGCCATAGAGGACGAAATATACATAATGTCAGTATCTACAATAAAATTTAATTGATTACTTTAATGTAAACAAAGTAATGGGACATCTTGTTTTAGTGGATGTATAGAAAGATTTATTTGGTAATGCCAGATTATTTTATTATATAGCCGCCGAAAAATTTTCCTGAGATAAGAATCTCTTCCAACTTAAGTTATACAGTCTAATACTGTAATGATGATCTTTTTCTGGCTTGTTTCAGCAAACAAGATGAAAATATAACACTAAATGCAGTACAACAGCCCTATGATCCAATAATATTGCAAAAGAAACTGAATACTACTTGTCATGAGATGACACACTAGAAATCTATATGAAATTAAATGGACAGCTATGTTGAAAAGATGTGAATTGCAAAGAACAAAATCTTATATTTAAACAAACACATTGGAAAAAATATTCACAAAAAGGACTGCATCTAACTGCTTATTCAAAAAGTTAGCTACAGCCAGAAGAAAATGTAATGGTCTTCCTATGGTGATCAAACTGGGTGGGGGCTGAAGGGAGAGGGTAAACTGAATTAAAGAAAGATGCTATGTAAAGAGAAAAAAGGTTGACAAGCGCCTTGTTTGTCAGAATGTAAAACAAGCCAGAGAGTATAAAGTCAATAGAATAGTTTTTTATAGAATCAATTTTCATAGAACCATGGAAATGTAGGGCTGGAAGGGACCTCCAGAGGTAATCAAGGCCATTTCCCCATGCTGAGGCAGAACCAAGTATACCTAGACCATCCCTGACAGGCATTTGTCTAACCTGCTCCTCTAAACCTTCCATTATGGGGATTCCAAGACCTCCTTTGGTAGGCTATTCTAGTACTTAATGATACTTATAGTGAGAAAGTTTTTCTTACTATCTAACCTAAATCTCTCTTGCTGTATATTAAGCTGATTATTTCTTGTCCTACGTTCAGTGAACATGGAGAACAATTGAGCACCATCCTCTTTGTAACAGCCCTTAAAATATTTTAAAACAAGTATCAGGTTCCCCCTCAGTCTGCTTTTCTCAAAACTAAACATACTCTGTTTAAAATCCTTCCTTATACGTCAGATTTTCTAAATCTTTCATCATTTTTTTTGCTGTCCTCTGTACGCTCTCCAATTTGTCCACATCCTTCTTAAAGAGTGATGCCTGAATTTGGACACATTTGAAGCATCACTAATGCCAAGTAGAGCGGGACAATTACTTCCTATGTCTTGCATACAACACTCCTGCTTATACACGTCAGAATGATATTAGCCTTTTCTACAACTGCATCACATTGTTGGCACATATTCAGTTTGTGATCCACTATAATCCCAGATCCTTTTCTGCAGTATTTGTGCCTAGTCAGTTACACCCCATTTTGTAGTTCTGAATTTGATTTTTCCTTCCTAAGTGTAGTACTTTGCATATGTCTTTATTGAATTTCATCTTGTTGATTTCAGACCTATTTGCCAATTTGTCAAGGTCATTCTAAATTCTAATCCTGACCATCTCAGTTTAGCATCATCTGCAAATTATATAAACATACTCTCCACTCCACTATCCAAGTTGTTAATGAAAATATTGAATAGTAATGGACTCAGGATAGACTCCTGAAGAACCCTCACTAAATACATCATCCCAGTTTGACAATAAACCATTTGTAACTATATTTTGAGTATGGTTTTTCAACCAGTTATGCATCTATTTTATAATAATTTCATCGGGAGCACATTTTGTTAGTTTGCTTATGAGAATGTCAAATGGGACTGAGTCAAAAGCTTTGCTAAAACAAAGATAAATCATGTCTAAGGCTAAGACTTTGTCATGGATATTTCTTGTAAAAGTCATGGACAGGTCACAGGCAAAAAAGAAAAATTCACAGAAGCCATGACCTGTCCCAGACTTTTACTAAAACTATCCGTGACAAAATGGGGATCTGGATCTTCAGGTCCCCACACTGCCTAAAGTGGGGCAGCTGGGTGGCTGCTAGGAGCCACCTACAGCAGCTGAAGGATGTGGGTACCCCCGCCACCTGCAGCTCCAGGGGCCCGTGGTGGCCAGGAGCTCGGGGGTTCCCCTGAGGCCCGCAGGGTCCGGGAGCTGCAGGATACCCCTGCCACCCATAGTTTTGGGGGCCTGCAGCAGCTGGGAGCCTGGGGGTTCCCCTGCCACCACTGCCCACAAGCTTAGGGGTTCCCCACCACCCGCGGCAGCCGGAAGCTGTGGTGATTCCCCTGCCATTGGCAGCTCTGGGAGGCCCCCACTGCCCATTGCAGCTGGGAGCTCAAGGGTACCCTGCTGCCCAGGAGCTGCGAGGTGCCCCACTGCCCATGGCAGCTTGGAGCTCCGGGAGCCGCCAGAGGCTAGAGTACCTGGCAGCTCCCTGCCCCTGCAGACAGCGGAGGACCCTGCAGCTCCCGACCACCACAAGCTGAAGTCACAGAGATTGCTGGAAGTCATGGATTCCATGACTTCCACGACCTCCGCAACTAAATTGTAGCCTTAATCATGTCTACTGCTTCACTCCTCTTTTTATCAGAGTTGTATATTTCAAATTTGCTTAAGTGACATGAATATTTAAAAAATTCTGCAACTCTCTCCTATCATTCTCTGATCCTGGATAATCAAAACAATCTTCATAAGTAACATAATGCTATACAATTATTTACCTCAGTTAAAGCTCTTCTTGACTAAAATCTTTAATTAGTCAATTGGAAATTGCCTGATATATGAATGAAACAATCTTGCTTATTCTCAAAAAATATATATATGAGGAACTTTGTGGGTTCTCCTAAATTCATATATACCTGCTTATATGCTTGGTATCAGACATAAAAAATTAATTATATGGTCTAAATAAATCTTATTAAGAAAAAAAATGTAATGGCTGATAATTTACTCAAGTATGTTAATATTCTCCCTCCTGCTGGGTTAAACGAGTCCTCCTTACTTTTTTGGTTTCTTGATTAAGAAAAAGCATCTGAAGAAGTGGAGTGGTTATTTTTGTTTGTCCATGCTTAAAGAATGGTCTTTGGCCATAATTATGTGAAATATATTGAAGCTAGGAATGCATCTCCCAAAGCCAATATTAGTTTAACATCCAGGAATCTTTTTTTTTTTTTTTTGAGGTAAACTAGTTGCTCTTTAGCACTGAGCAATATACTATATGAATGGAACCTTTAACACAATTTAGTACAGCGAGTAAGGCTGTCATAAGTTTAAGAATTGGTTGCACAATATGATGACAATATGTATTAATTGTTTCTAATTCAATAATATTTTCAAAATGTGTAAGGAATTTCTGGGTTCAAAACCAAGTTTGAAAAAGCAGAAGCACTGTTCCCTATGCTCTCCCTGGAATTCTCTTAGAGCTAGCTTTGATTTCAAGCAGACATCTAGTACACTTAGTTACATAGGGGTTAAAATATCAAAAAACCATGCAGACTTACAGATTAACAAGGCTGTTACTCTGAAACCTCTCTCTGAATTATAGTCCACCTCTGAAGAAAGTTTCAGAAGAATTAGCTCATTGGAAATCATTATGCCTTTCATGGGGAGACAGAACAAATGTTATTGAAATGAATGTTCTAGCAAGATCCAGTTATTTATCACAGGTTTTGCCTATAATGATACCACTTTTCTTTTTTTTTTAAATTCTCACAAAAATTTGCATGGAATAATAGTTATTCACAAGATGGTATTATTTGGCTTCAGCAAAGAAAAGAAAAAGGAGGTTTTGCTTTGCCTCACTTTAACTTTTATTTTCTTGCTACTCATTTTACAGAAGTATTTGATTTTTATGTGGAAACTCTTTTCAACCCTTTTCTTAGCCTACAGAACAGTCCATTGGACTAATATTAAATATATTCTCTTTCTTCCTAAAGCGGATCTCTGAAGATGCAGGGTCCAATCCTGCAATACTCCCATTGACTTCAGTGGTGTAGGACTTACCTAGACCTTGTCATCTGTGCATGTTATATATCTATTTAACTAGGTACATATGCAGCTTCTTAAGTGATATTTTATGCAGGATTGAATCGCGAGAGCAAGCACCCTCTAGTTCAGTATTTCTCCCCTATCTAATAATCATTAATTAGTTAGTTATAATACTTTGGAGTTACATAGCACTGTGACCAAAGATTCTCTGGATGCCAACTAGCAGAGGGCAAAGGAGTATAGGGATCCCCTGGGTTCACCCAAAGGATGTCATGTAAGGTCTCTAATGAAAGCCTGTCTCACACTGGTCATCATAATGATTTCAAACTGTATGTACAGACATTGTGTAAAGAGTTACATGTATACATTGAAAAATATGTTCTTAAGGTCTGTGATCAGAGACTGGTCATCAGAAAGGTGAAAAGCAGGTTTTCTTTCATGCAAGAAATAATTATCCATTTGTCTGTTTATATGTAAATGGTTCACAATGGGCATCCATGTACAGTCTGAGCCAAATGTTAAAAAAGGATTGTGAAATCTTCAAAGAGAGAAAATTTACAGGAAGAAGTGACCCAGCAGGGAAATGCCCTGTTTACATGTAAGGACAATGAAATTTGGGGGGTATAATAAGGGGTACAGAAGTACACCTTCAGCCTTCCCCTAGGAAGTAAACTGATAGCACATTGGCTTCATGAAAAAGAAATTTCAGCCGGGCTTGGTTGAAAATGCTGGAAAGAACTTTGGATGCGATAAACTGATTTGGGCAAGAGGATTATATGTTAGTTATGTTTAGGCTCTAGAATGCATGTTATGATTTTGTTTTAGATGTAATCATTTGTTCCCATCTCTTACACTGCTTTTTATTTGAATATTTTTATTCTTTCTTAAATACATTTCCTTTTGTTTGTAATTGAACTCAAGTGCTGTGTGTAACAGAGGAGTGGTGATCTAAGGTAGAGCTGGTAAACTGTGATACTCTTTTCCTTTGAGAACAGAGGATCTGGAATTTCTCTGTGTAGGGAGTGATCAGGGGCTGGATACCACAGGGGAATTCTTTGAAAAAACTCATGGGCAGAGGTGCCACGATTGTCAATCTGCACAGCAAAAACAGTCCCAAAGAAGAGTTCTTGAGTGTCTGACAGGCTAGTTGTGCTCACGAGCTAACACCCAGTTAAGCACATGCAAGTCTCCCTCATGTAGTAACAAGGTGACCCCCAGCCCTAGGTGTCCCAAGAAGCATCACAAACACCTTCCTCCCAAAGTACTAAGGGACTTTCACTTACTTGTGAGACAGGTAAAATTTAAAATCCCTATTTTCATATGGAAATCAATGCAGAAAAAGATTATGTGACTTTCATAGATTCATAGATATTTAGGTCAGAAGGGACCATTATGATCATCTAGTCTGACCTCCTGCACAACGCAGGCCACAGAATTTCACCCACCACTCCTGCAAAAAACCTCACACCTATATCTGTGCTATTGAAGTCCTCAAATCATAGTTTAAAGACTTCAAGGAGCAGAGAATTCTCCAGCAAGTGACCCATGCACCATGCTACAGAGGAAGGCGAAAAATCTCCAGGGCCTCTTCCAATCTGCCCTGGAGGAAAATTCCTTCCCAACCCCAATATGGTGATCAGCAAAACCCTGAGCATATGGGCAAGATTCACCAGCCAGATACTACAGAAAATTCTTTCCTGGGTAACTCGGATCCCACCCCATCTAATATCCCATCACAGGCCATTGGGCCTATTTACCATGAATATTTAATTACCAAAACTATGTTATCCCATCATACCATCTCCTCCATAAACTTATCGAAGTTAATCTTAAAGCCAGATAGATCTTTTGCCCCCACTGCTTCCCTTGGAAGGCTATTCCAAAACTTCACTCCTCTGATGGTTAGAAACCTTCGTCTAATTTCTAGTCTAAATTTCCTGGTGGCCAGTTTATATCCATTTGTTCTTGTGTCCACTTTGGTACTGAGCTTAAATAATTCCCCTCCCTCTCCGGTATTTATCCCTTTGATATATTTATAGAGAGCAATCATATCTCCCCTCAACCTTCTTTTAGTTAGCCTAACAAGCCAAGCTCCTTGAGTCTCCTTTCATAAGACAAGTTTTCCATTCCTCAGATCATCCTAGTGGCCCTTCTCTGTACCTGTTCCAGTTTGAATTCATCCTTCTTAAACATGGGAGACCAGAACTGCACACAGTATTCCAGGTGAGGTCTCACCAGTGCCTTGTATAATGGTACTAAAACTTCCTTATCCCTACTGGAAATACCTTTCCTGATGCATCCCAAGACCGCATTAGCTTTTTTCATGGCCATATCACATTGGCGGCTCATAGTCATCCTATGATCAACCAATACTCCAAGGTCCTTTTCCTCCTCCGTTACTTCTAATTGTTGTGTCCCTAGCTTATAACTAAAATTCTTGTTATTAATCCCTAAATGCATGACCTTACACTTCTCACTATTAAATTTCATCCTATTCCTATTACTCCAGTTTACAAGGTCATCCAGATTCTCCTGTAGGATATCCCTGTCCTTCTCTAAATTGGCAATACCTCCCAGCTTTGTATCATCCGCAAACTTTATTAGCACACTCCCACTTTTTGTGCCAAGGTCAGTAATAAAAAGATTAAATAAGATTGGTCCCAAAACTGATCCTTGAGGAACTCCACTGGTAACCTCCCTCCAGCCTGACAGTTCACCTTTCAGTAGGACCCGTTGTAGTCTCCCCTTTAACCAATTCCTTATCCACCTTTCAATTTTCCTATTGATCCCCATCTTATCCAATTTAACTAATAATTCCCCATGTGGCATGGTATCAAATGCCTTACTAAAATCTAGGTAAATTAGATCCACTGCGTTTCCTTTGTCTAAAAAATCTGTTACTTTCTCAAAGAAGGAGATCAGGTTGGTTTGGCATGATCTACCTTTTGTAAAACCATGCTGTATTTTGTCCCATTTACCACTGACTTCAATGTCCTTAACTACCTTCTCCATTGCCTAAAGTTACATAGCAAATCTGTTGGCTGAGAACAGAATGCAGGTCTCCCAACTCCTGAGCCATGCATTAGCAACAAGGCCATTCTTCCCTTATTTTAACCAACATTGTTTTCTTTTTTCCTTTCTCAGTCCTGCCCTCTTTCCCATCTAGCTTTCTCCAGTTCCATTGTCTGTCTTGTCCACCACCTGGTCCTTTCTGTCTCCTCCACCACCACCAATTTCCACTTGTCCTCTCCCATCCAAAGATCCAGTCTCCTACCTGTCTCTCCAGTTTGCTCCACTTAGATAGATTGTCCCTTGTGACCTCCTCCTAAGGACCAACAGGCAGCCAAAGCATGTAATTTCCTCCTCTGCATTACTCTTTATTGTGAGACATAAAGGAGGCAAGAGAGCCAGCAGGATTATCAGGGAAACCTAGGCTTCCAGTTCAGCAGGCCAAACAACAGTTTGTAGCCAACTCTCGGATAAGCCTTGCTCACTGCCTGCTTTAGTCTATGACATTTCATGAACAGTGACAGTACCACAACAGGCCAAACAACATTTCAGCGATTCCTTTGAAGCAACCTGGTGGTAGTCATTAATTTCTTATGAGAGTGAGAAGTTTATTTGTCCTTTTACTTAAGCAAGTAGAAATGTATCACTTGTTTCTTGTTGTATACTATAGATGGTACAACTTGTAACACAATAATAAACATGCTGGAGTGGCTGGATTTTCAAGGGCCTGTGACACACCAAAAGCCTGACATTTGGACACAGAGATCCTATTGAATCACTGCTGTTAGAGAAGGACTAAACCTATTAGATCTCTAATCAGCCTCCTGATCTCCCAGTGCAGGACCGTCCCAAAACATACATTTTCTAGTGTTCTGTCCAGGCTACATTTTAATGTTTCAGGTGACAGGTTTATGACTATTTCCCTAGGGAGGCTATTGTATAACCCAACTGGAACTTTTCTTAATATTTAGCCTAAATGTTCCCTTTTACTTGTCTTAGTTAAATCCCTTATACTACTGCAAAAACCTCTTCTCTCTCCTTGGGTGAAATCCCGGCCCAAATGAAGTCAATGACAAAATGTCAAGATTTCACCATTGGTCTTTACTAGCAGCAGTTATTATATACCCCTTTGTTTTTGCTTAGTCAAGCAAATGTATCTTGCTCTTGTAAACTTGCATCATAAAATCAATCCCTGTAGTTCTTCTGTGAACTCTTGATGAAGTTTTTAACTATGCCTGAAATAACACAGATACCTAGATACCTTCCCCCATCTTGATACATTGCTGTTTGTCATTATTACCATTAGTTTACAATCTTTCAGCCAGTTTTCAGCCTATAGCAGGCTATTCCTATTGATCTGAATTAATGTTTCAAGTATGATTTCATGATATCTTTTATTCTATGGTTTATTCAAATTCAGTTATATGACATCTACATTTTGTAATTCTGTCAAAATCCTTCATTTTCTAGCAAAACACATTCTTTGCAAACCAGTGTTGCTTATTACTCACTATCCTAGAGATGTTTAGCTACTTTTTTCCTCTCAATATTTGTTCCACTGTTTTACTAGGGACAGAAGTTAAATTTATGAAACAATAATTGCAGAATCACTGGGTAGTTGCAGGATAGTGGGAGAGGAGATAATAAGCAACTGCCATGGCAGACTTTGAAGAAGTGGACAGCAAGTCATAAGGAAAACTAATAGAGTCCAGCCACGAGGTAGAAATAATCATGATCATGATGGTCAAAGGCAGCAGGCAAATCAAAAAGAATTAAATAATTGAAGCGCTCCCTTGATTTTAGCTAAGAATAGATCACCTATGGCTCTGGAGAGTGCTATTTCAATGAATTAGAAAGGGCTGAAGCTAGATTGTAAAGGATGACAGAGTTGAAGCACAAGTGTAGATAGCACACTAGGATTTTACATACAATTAGTTTTCAAAGAAGATGCAAATTCATCCCATTGCAGTTGAATCAGGCTCCCATAAAAATGGACAGAGATTGAGCTGAGCTACAAATACAAATGTATACTTAAATATTTCACGTGCGTAAGGACCATTTTGGTAGGGCAACTCTAGTAGACTGATATCCCTGACTAAGAAAAGTGGCATTTGGCAACATTTAATAACCTATATCAGGTCTGACCATCACTGGCATAGATAACACAAGGGATCAAATAGTAGAAAGAAAATTCTTACATGACTCCCGGAGAAATGGATAAAGGTCTCCAATGGCAGAAAGCTGATTCAGAGAAATACAGCAACTAATCAGTATTTGGACCTTGAGTGGACCCAGTCTGGAGAAATATACCACATCAGTAGGGATTTCAGAAGGCAGATTTGAAAAGTACAACACACAGGAGGTGCTTTACATCAAATGAACACACACATCATTAACAACCTGTCATGTAACAGATGTAGAGAGCACAAGAAGTACTTAGAGACATTATTCCAAGGAGAACAAGTCATCGGATTTTTTGTCCTTTTGATATAGAGCTGCAATTAGAAGCCCCGTATTCATTTTATATGACATATGTTATATTATTATTATTCTGTCTGTTCTAGGGGCTATGAGTAAACCCATATAGATATCTGTCTTTGTTTCTTGATACTAACCATGTCAAAATGAGAAAAATCAGCTCATTTCTTACAAGTGAAACAAAGGTGACCTGCACTTTATTTTTAAACAACTAAATGTGGTTTTATATACTGAATGTCCCAAATAGCAAGGGTAATGTGAACACTCTGCACATAAATTATTTAACTTACCTTGCTTGTATTCAGCACATGTCCCTTGAAATCCAGACTAACAGCCTGGATACACTCTGTACGTCCACGCAATCCCTAGGACTGTATGATCATACACTGACCCCTATCATATACTGACATCATAGCTACCAAGGAATCCCACTAGACCACACTGACGGTGGTGGGTAAATGGAGGGTTTTTACTGTGCATGATTTTGAAAACAATACTATTTTATATCCCAAAGGGCATATATAAAATAATATTGTACCAAATGTTTGCCTAGGACAAGATGGTTGTCGCAATACCACAGACCACAACCACTCTGATCTCACAATTAATTCAGGGATAGATCCAAAATCACAGGATCCTAGGAATGTAGAGTCCTGCTGTCAATGTGAAGATCTGAGCAGCCATGGTCCCAGCATGCTAACAAATACAACACACACAGACTTGTTAAAACATTATATAATACTCCAAGTTGACAAAGATAACAGAATTCACCTTGCAACAATTTAGAAAGTTTCTGCTGTCCACTTGTATTTAAATGCTGAGTTGCATTAACAGTGTCTAAAACTAGGTCATCAGATTGTCCAGACAGCATCTTCATGTCTGGTGGTTAATTATTCTTGATTATATTTAAAATATTTTAAAAAATACACGAGTCATTTGCAGGAGTTAGAATCACTTTTATTGCACTGCAGTTTTCTTTTCCAAAGAAAAAGAATTTCAAATACCCAACGGGCTTTTATAAGGAATGAAGAAATTAAAAAAACTGCTTTAAGAATTATGAAAAATACCTTGATAGTTGTCTTTTTAAAAAAGGAGTGTGGAAGCATCTGTCACAACCTTATTGTTATTTAAAAGAAGTTCCATGTGTTAATGGAAATAAAGCCCAGACATGTTCATTCACCCTGAATAGAGACTCTGGCGTTCAAATTCTACAGATTAAGGACAGCTGGATTAAGTTAATGAAAGGACCTTGAGCAGTCATGGTGTACAGGCCCCCTTTGAAAGGTATGGCACTTTGATTTTCATATAGTTTGGCACTTTGTCTTGTTACTCCTCCATCACCATGAAACTTATTACAGTTGACAAACAAGTTGTCTAATATACTGGAAGTATGAAACCTATATAGCATGCATAACTCTGTCTGGATAAAGTACTACAATAAACCCATACTAAAGCAGTCAGATATGGCTTCTTCTGTGTTCCTGACACAAATGACAGCATCTGCACATGGCAACTGCCTCTGCACCATGTTTCTAACAGCACAGGGATATCACTGATTATACAAACAGTGTATAACAGCATTGGGAGTGACCTGCCCACTGCGTAAGCAGAGATGCTTCTGACAATGACAGGCAAAACATGTGTTCGGGAAAAGAGAGTAATGAACAATATTGCCAACTGGTGTGAAAGTGTAACCTAACATTTTGTCAGGCTTTAACAATGATAAAATAAATTGCATAAATATTAATATTAATAATCTTGTCTCAAGGATCTATGAACACTTTACAAAGGTGGGAAAACATCATTAGCTCCATTTAACAGAAAAGGACACTGACCTGAGAGAGACTTGCTCAAAGTGACAAACTGGCAGTCAGGACTGTAACTCAGTTCTCCTGATTCCCAAAGTTCTTAAACATTCAAATAAGCTGTAGTTTGCCAATCCACTTCATGGTCTCTTCAAGCAATAACCAAATAGGAAACAGGAAGAGCCACATTATATGGTTCTTACAAGTGAGGCATGTATATACTTTCAAGTGCTACCGTGATAGCTGTCCTCTTGGTTGACATATTGGAGATTGAACTGGGAGTATCCTGAGCAGCAAATTCTTATATGTGGATTTTGACATAGAGAAGTGTCCCTATAGCCCATACTCATGAGTTACTTACACTCACCAACTGCTGTCCTTGCTAATGCTGTTCAGAGCTATCATACAAAAAAAAATTGTAAAAGTTTTCTTTCCATTCTGACTTCTTTCCTTCCATCCCACTCCCTTCTTCAATAACCCCCAACTCTGTGATCCCTGTCGCATCCCCACCAGATCACAAATGCTGCTCATATTTACACTGTGCTTTGGCTGGATGACTGAAGTATCCCACATTAATTATGAAACATTTCATTCTGCCTGGAGGCCCAAGTAGCCAATATGAAGGCAGTTTCAAGCACATGAGGATACAATTGATACCATGGTGCAGCAGAGTGAAAGAAGTGGGAAAGAGATGACAGACTGAATAAATGGCAAGCAAATTGGGGAGGATTGATTGAAAAGATTTTGAGTTATGACAGATATTGAGTTTCTTCAGATAGGACATGATGTAGTCAAGAAAATCTGGAGGGCACATACCATATTAGCATGTTGTTTCTGCGACTGATGAGACTCAACTGCTTACAATAATTGACTCCTCCTGTCTCCAGAATAACTTCTAATGGTCGCTTAGTGTTTGTGCCCAGGGTAGTATCAATTTAATACATGAACATTCCTTGTGGGATTGCTACATAAAGAAATGTATTCTGCCAAGCAGAGGGATGAATTCAAGTATCTAACAGGTACTTTTCATCTCTAAATACTGGGCATATTTAATATAATTTTTAAAGCCTGTACTAACTTTCTTTAAAATTTGAAAAAGTTAATTTCACAGTTAAATATGTGTTTGAAACAAACGAAAGAAGTAGAGTGACCATAGGAGAAGGCTAAAGTGTTGCTTAACAAGTTGCTATTTCTGTTCACAGCCCAGATGGGAAAAATACTAATAATACTGTCAAAGTTTCATTTACTTATTTAAAAAATAATAAACCAACATGATTAATAATAAGATCCTGATGTACTTTGGAAACAATATTTCTCAGAATTTTTTCTTCTGCCCAACTTCTATTCATGGTAATGCAATCTGGATCAATATTTACAAAATTCATCCACCATTTCTTTAGTTATTTTCCTGAAACATTTTCCACAATGAGTCGGCTTCTCTGAGAAGGAAGTTGGCAGATTATTTCTGCTGTTACTCTTTTTCTATTCTCTGCTGAAAATACAGAATATTATGCCAAAAATAATTTCCAGATTAGTATGCTATTTTTATTAGTCTATAGTATACACATTTTTAAAAGTAATTTACTGATAGCTGGCAACTCTTGTCTGCCACTTGTGTGATTTTGCTTTCAGAATGCAGCAAACAGGATTGGTGCGACCTTTCCTTCCAGGGTATCGGAATTTACATTAGTATCATACCAGTTTTTAGTAACTGGGAATCATTAATTCCATGAGAAATTATGACAAATCTTAGCCTTAAGGCTAGAACACTCTTGAAGCATGCTAGCGCAGATTTTAACAGATGTCACTTTGTACCACTGATGACCATTCTGAAGTTCCTGTTACACTGCAGACAAATTAATTGTGACATACTAATGTAATTTTCTTTTACCATGAACTGTCAGAGTACAAAACTTGTCCAGTTCAGAAAGACAATAATTTCATGGACAATCACTCTTCACTGTACCTCTGATTAAGAAGCTTTTATAAATAATTCAAGCTGTGACTGATTAGTTTTTATACTGTCAAAAAGACATGCCTCTTTAAATCATGCCTAGATTTAAAAAAAAAAAAAAAAAACCCACAACCCCACAGTTTCCACAACAACCCTAAAAATCACAAAAGTAGAAAACATCTGTGTGATCCAGGCAATCCCAAGCCAATACAAATTGTTCACTATAATACTTGGTTCAGTTTATTTTCAAAAAAATCAAACTAATTGTGTTTATTGCACATCCCTTAGGATGCAAGAGTTTTAATAAACCCCAGAAAATGTGTTTTTTTTTAAATATTATCACAAGGTTAGGCCCTGGTTATTTAATAAGAAAGTTATTTTCTTCTTATTAAATATGTATAGGCCCTGATCCAGCTCCCATTAAAGTCAATGGAATGACTTCTAATGACTTCCTTGGCAGTTGGATGAGGCCATATTGCAGAAGCACTCAAAGGCCTCAGCTGGGATGTTGTGTTAAATGCTGCACAAATATAACTTAAGACATGGCCCCATGGAAGTTAGCGGAAGTTTTGCCATTTCCTTTACCCACATGATCAAAGAGGATTACATCTGGAGGGTATAAATATCCTGCCCTGACTGCATGCCTGACAGGTCAGTGCCCACACCTGAGCTGGACTTCTGGGTCCCTATTACTCTGCTCACCTCTTTTGCCTTTCCCTCATAACTCAAGGAAGCAGGAACCCTTATGGGGTCCACAATCCCTTTCTTCTTGCTGCCCAGACAAAGACCTACTGCATTCAGTTGTGGAGTGCACTTTATAATAAGTAAATATTTTAAGTTATTTAGTATCCTGTCTGTCTCTCAGCCTAGCCCTCTTTAGTTAGCTTAGCAGGATTGTGGCAAAGGCAGGTCTTGAGGCAGGATATGAAAGTAGAGAACCTAGCTGCGCTCAGTTTTGGTTCTAGATGGATTTTTTTTCTCTGTATATAGGAATGTGTTTGATCAACCTACTTGCAACAGTGCCTGGGCTTACCTAACCACCTTCTCTGACTCTGACATAGCAACTACATGCTTTTAAATGGTATTTAACTGGCTCTGAGCATGCTCATTTTATCTTACTATATTCTCCTAATTAATTCTGCTTCGTCTACTTTCTTCTAGAACAGACCTGAAACTTAACTTTCCATTAATATAAAACAATGAGAACACTCCAGTCTTTTTTGTTTTATATCATAAGGCAACACAGTTGATTTCAATAGTACAGTCAGTCTATCACATGTACAAATGCCTTCAGCCAGAAATGCAAAGTCAACTGTTATAAAATCTCTATACAGAGTGAACAGAGAGATTAGTCCCTCACTTCCATCAGTTTCTCCTTATGTTGCCACAGTCTTTCCCCATTTGGTCCATCACAACAAAGTCATTGTGGTTCTATTTCTTGATTTCTCTGAGATTCTGCCAATATCCAGTTTTTCCAAACAAATTTAAAGATCTGGTCTGACTATACATGCATTCATGTAAAACCAAAAGTCATCTTTCACTCTAGTTATTTATTTTCTAGAAACTTTTCATTTAGCATTCCAGGTTACAATTTGCATGAATAATCAGGATTTTTCCCCCTTCCTTTTTTGGAAAGTTGTAGGAATCTAATGGAATAGCCCTATGGATTTCAACAGGGATGAAACAATAGAAAATATTCTAAAACCATAATTTAATAGAAAATTATAGCCTTCCTATGGAATTTTGTACTGTCTAGTAGATTTTAATTGGATAATTGTATCCCTTCTATTGATCTGTATAGGTAGGATTCAACTTTTTATAGAGAGGTCACCATTCATTCTAAATGCTACAGCAACTTTCCATAAGAGAGACAGCGGTGTGATATTTTGTATCCCTGATCCTTCTTTTTTTCTCTCTTCTTTTAGGAGAAGGTACCAGAGCTTTCCTGGGCTATCATGTACCACCCTCCAGAGTTGACTCTTATTCCTCACTGTAAAGAATTCCTTCCTTCCTGAAAGGTCTGGGCTGGAAATATTTCAAACAACTTCTAAATATTCAGTCTGGCCAGAATATTTAACTCATGAAGAGAACTGAGCTTTAATAGAGACACCACAGCATGCTAGGTTCTGGTTGTCTTATTATTGATCACTTGTACTGCAGAAGTGTTTGGAGACCCCAGTCATAGGCCAGGGCCCCGTTGTGCTAGGCATTGTACAAACAGGTAACAAAAAGACAGTCTCTGCCCTAAGGAGTTTACAATCAAAACCCACTTGGAATAAATAGGTCACGTATGCACAATAGGCACTGACTCTGTGGGTGCTCCAGGGCTCAAGCACCCACAGAAAAAAAAATAGGGGGTGCTCAGCACACATGAGCTATAGTGGTTCCTGTCACTCTCCCCCTCAAGTTTTGTAACTGAGGTCTGATCACTGGGCCTGCCCTAGGCCCACACAGAGCTTGAGTGTGGAATATGATAAGTTTACAAAAAGAAAAGGAGGACTTGTGGCACCTTAGAGACTAACAAATTTATTTGAGCATGAGCTTTCGTGAGCATTCGATGAAGTGAGCTGTAGCTCACGAAAGCTCATGCTCAAATAAATTTGTTAGTCTCTAAGGTGCCACAAGTCCTCCTTTTCTTTTTGAAAATTTATTTGAGCATAAGTTTTGTGGGCTACAGCCCACTTCATCGGATGCATAGAATGGAACATATGGTAAGAAGATAGATATATACATACAGAGAATGTGAAAAGGTGGAAGTAGCCATACCACTGTAAGTGGCTAATTAATTAAGATGAGCCATTTTCAGCAGGAGAAAAGAACTTTTGTAGTGATAATCAAGATGGCCCATTTAGACAGTTGACAAGAAGGTGTGAGGATACTTAACATGGGGAAATAGATTAAATATGTGTAATGACCCAGCCACTCCCAGTCTCTATTCAAACCCAAGTTAATGGTATCTAGTTTGCATATTAATTCAAGCTTAGCAGTTTCTCATTGGAGCCTGTTTTTGAAGCTTCTTTTCTGTTGCAAAATCACCAAATTCTGTACTGCTAACAGCTTCTGCCCTTGGGGCAGGGAGTTTGTTTATAAACAGAGGCAGGGTGATTAAGATAACAAAAGGCTTGTCATTAAATTAAATTAAGGATCCTTAGATGATCCTGAAAGCATTGCCAGCACTCCTGTTAAAAGATAAGAAACAAAGGGTAGGAATAAATTGTCAGTTTTCAGAATAGAGGGAGTTAAATAGTGGTGTCCCCCAGAGGTCTGTACTGGGACCAGCGCTGTTCAACATACTCATAAATGATCTGGGAAAAGGGGTAAAATAGTGAGGTGGCAAATTTACAGATGATACAAAATTACTCATGATAGTTAAGTCCAAAGCTGACTGCAAAGAGTTACAAAGGGACCTCACAAAACTGGGTGACTTGGCAACAAAATGATAGATGAAATTCAATGTTAAGTGTAAAGTAATGCAAACATAATCCCAACTATACATACAAAAGAATGGGGTCTAAATTAACGGTTACCCTTCAAGAAAGAGATTTTGGAGTCATTTGCAGTACTCTGGAAGCACTATGCACTTTTGTCTCTGCTTGTTATTTCATGAGGAGTTTGAACAGCGTAGGAAAAAGATCATTCTGCAACCCTTCTGGGATATACAGATTGCATACAGATCTATAATGACCTCTCACTGTGTTCCACATGGATGTGACACTCTACAGGGAAAAGTCTGACAGAGCTTTCTCTTCAAAGTCCTTTAAAAGCAAAGATGTTGTCTTTGCTTTTAAAATAATATCACAATAATTTGACCTCTCAGACGATGTGAGTTGTCATACCTAATATATCCAAAATACAAACACCAAAAAACCAAACTAGTCAAACCCATGAACTAGCACAGCATGTTTTAACTTTTCTTTCAGCATGAAACAAGGAAAATAAATCCCATCAGTAAGTAAATGAAGTGGATCTCAGCATAACCAATCTATGAGCCTAAAATGAGTTTAACTCCATGGTGGGAAGGTTTCAGATTCATAAATTATAAACCCAGAAGGGACTACTGTGACCATATATACAAATTTAGGGGGAGATTTTCAAAGACACAAAGGGCAGTTGAAGCATCTAATTCTATTGTCTTTTAGTGGAAGTTGGGTTCCTAACTGCCATTTGGGCCTTTGAAAATCTCACAAAGATAATAATAAATTGGCCCATGCCCACAATTCAAAATCCTGATAGCTAATAACCTGCTTTGAGTTATTAATGTCTCAAATGTAATCAAAATGTTAATAGAATTTAGGTTTTGATATAGGGGATTGTTTACCCCAACTTGACTGAGGAAGAGAAGGTTACTTACATTGTGCAGGTTCTTCGAGATGGTTGCCGAGACAGCCTGTTCGGAGGAAATAAAAGACATATTACTGAACAGTCATAGAATGAATACAAGAAAGACATATATCCATAAGTGGAAACAATTCAGCGCTTGGTGCCAAGATAAACAGATCTTACCAACATCTTCCCTTCTAACAAGGGTCCTGGACTACATATTAGAACTTTAAAAACCGGGACTCTTCACAAGCTCCATCAAGGTACACTTGGTGGCTATCACAGCTTTCCAAGAGAAGGTGGATGGAATCACTATATTTGCCCACCCAATGACTAACCGCTTTCTTAAAGCATTGAGAACACCTACTCCCACAATAAGGAAACTGCCACCCAACTTCATCTTATGCAGTCTTATGGGAAAGCTGTTTGAACCCCTTGCAATTGGCTCATTACTACATTTATCTATGAAGGTGGCCTTCCTCATCATCATCACATCCTCCAGACGAGTGGGAGAGCAAGGTGCCCTAATGGTACATCCTCCTTACACAACGTTCTTTAAAGATAAAGTTACTTTAAGACCACACCCCAAGTTCCTACCCAAAGTCGCTCCCCCCGCCCACACACTTCATTTGAAACAACCCATTTACTTACCTGTGTTTTTTCCAAAACCACATGCAGATGGAAGGGAGGCATCACTCCACACAGATATTTACAGAGCATTAGCTTTCTACATTGAAAGATCAAAAAAATTAAGAAAATCACAGAGACTTTCGGTCTCCATAACAGAATACTCAATAGGACAAACCATCTCAAAATAGAGAGACTATCCAAATGGATATCAGGATGCATCCATCTTTGCTTCCAAAAGAGCAACCTACAAGCCCCAGTGGGAGTCCGCACACTTTACCAGAGCACAGGCAGCTTCTGTGGCCTTTCTCAACAATGTCCCCATTACCGACATTTGCAGAGCAGCAACCTGGGCATCAGCCCACACATTGACAGAACACTATGCTATAGAACAACAATCAACATCAGATGCTTGTTTTAGACTCACGGTGTTATCCAACATTTACAACACAACTCCGAAGCCCCTCCCTTCCACTGAGGAGCACTGCTCAACAGTGACCTAAAGTGGAGCACCCACAGGGACACTCCAAGAAGAAGAAGAAGAAGAAGAAGAAGGAGGTTACTCACCTTGTGCAGTAACTAAGGTGTTTTGAATTGGCTGTCACTGTGGGTGCTCCACTACTCTCCCACCTCCCCTCTACTTCAGAGTTTCATACAGATTCTCTGCGGTAGAGAAGGAACTGGGGGGCGGTTGGTTGTGCAGCACTATGTAACCACCTGGAGTGGTGCAAGACAGTGATGGCGCGTGTGTGACCCAACTAGGCACTGCTACCACAAATCTCTGTTTCAGGTGTAAGGTGTACAGACACCTAAAGTGGAGCACCCAACAGAGATGCTCCTCAAAGAAGAAGGGAATTGAGTTGCTACACACGTTCTCTGATTATTAGGTTATTTTCAGAATAATGGATGTATTTACAGTACCACACTAGACCTTCTGATCATTAGACCCATTCAGAAACTTTAGGGATGAGGGCATTTGGGCCTTAGTCTGAAGTTGGAAGTATAATTCTCTATGTAATTTGGTCAGGAACTTTTCGGCTAAAAAATTTTCAATTTGTAGAAACCAGAACTTTTGATGGAAACATATTGGTTATGAAAAAACTTTTGTCAGGATTGTTTTTCAGGTCCAGGAGGAAATTTCCTGTAACACAGAGAGAGAGAGATCCAGCCCAGAATAGCCAAGCAGTTGGGGGATTCATGTAGGAGACCCGGTGTTCAGTCTGCTAGATTCAGACTACTGACTTGAGCCTGGGTCTCCCACATCCCAGCAGTGTACCCTAACCATCTGGCTATCCCAGGGATCTCTCCCATATCAAATGTTTTTGTGAAATTGAATTCTCGTTTCCAGGCAGTCCCGTATGTAATCTTACCTCTGGTGTGCTTGGCAATAAACTCTGTAAGTAATTGGCAGGTTCTAAAGGGAGGTCAACCTTTCTTATTTTAAGTATCTGTTAATTTCACACACACGCGCGCACACACACACATCCCGAAGAGAAATTATTTGAGGGCACAGCCACCAGTAAATCACAGCTCTTCTGCCACTCGGAAGAATAACAGTCATTTATTGCATTTAATCTGGAAGAGGTTAAATACATTACAGTTACTATTCTCATTCTATTTGACTGGGATACGGCACACTTAAGCCAACAGCTCAGATGATTTATTTGCCTGTCTAGATAAACTGCCTCCTCGTGTCTGCATCTCATATTTAAATATAGTTTAACTTAGGCTATGCCTACACTTAGGACAGTGTGCAGAGTACATACATGGCATGCCCCCCGGAACACAGCTATAACTAGCAGTGTAGAAGGTGAGGCACTGCTTAGGTGAGTAGACACATCAGAATCTTAGGGTATGTACCCTACATGGCTCTCTACGCACAAAAGCAGTGGCTTCCATGGCTATGCTGCTATTTTTAGCAGTGTAGCATCCTGCTGCCTCTCCATTGCAGGAGTGTTTCCCCACCAAAGGGAAAGGCTCCAGCAACAGGAAAAGGGTCTGGCAGGGGGAAGCAGTGGGAAAAATCTCTGACAGCTCCCCACTGCCAGAGCCTTTTCTCCTGCCTCCCCTGTGCCAGAGCCTTTCATTGCCATGTGTAGCTACACACCACTGTGTGGATGCACCCTACTCCACTGCAACATGTAGCTGCATGCCGCCACCACTGTAGACAAGGCCTTAATGTTAAAAATAGTGTGTTGGGGGGTAGAATATATTCCAGCTATAACCACTTTACACACAGCAGGGAATGCAGGGAATTAGGAGCCACCATACTGCATGAGACCAGTGAGCCAGTTAGTTCAGAATCCTGGCTCTGACAGTGGCCAGAACCAAGGACTCTGTTTTCCATTTCATTTGGCAGTCTGTTGATCACTCTCTCATTGATGGGGTTACAGGCAAAGTGCTAGAATTGAAAAAAAAATTGCTAAAAAATGTATTTCACAGCCAGGTAAGGTTTCCAAGATTCCAATACATTTAAAGTGATTTCCTTGAAAAAGCCAAGGTAGAGGTTTGTCAGATTTGTTGGCTTTCTCAGAACAAAATCTTTTAGGCGCTCTAATTGCATACACCATTCAGATAATATCAATTACATTTATTTCTCTAATAGTCTTGCTCATTTATTTCAAAGTGCTACTAAAGCACTATTCTGTAATTTTTCCAATTGGGTTTAACTGATCCTGAAGAGCCAGAAGTTGTTGGTTTACCAAAGCAGTCACACTTCAAAAGTTTTTCCAAGTTTGCAAGATTCTATCGGGGTGCAAGTATCACCAGCGATATCTCTCATACTGGAAGAAATTTTTGAAGTGCAACTCCTGACACTGCTTCCTTCCTGACATATTGAGATAGCCCTGCCCCTTCTCACTTGCTGGTCCCCACCACAGCCAGAGACAGGAAATCTCAGGGGTGTAGCGGTTAGCTAGATAGTTATCTGGGGCATCATTACACTACATTTCAAGTTTATCTATTGACCAGTGCCATCCACCCTTTAGGTTCCTTTACTATTAACATTAGTACCAGCGGAGCATGGTCCTGAAATGCTAATTGAGCCAAATCTGACAAACAATTTCTCTGGCAACCAGATGAATATCAAGAAAAGAGTAATCTAATCTCAAATATGATTGGTGTCTCAGTGAAAAAAGTGCAATCTCCTTTCAGAGGCTGCAGATGGCATCTTACATGTTTTTGTCTCCTAAAAGTTTTCCTAATTTTTTCACTTTCAAGTTGAGAGAGTTAGTGGGACCTGAGCAATTTTAGAAAGTATATATATAACAGTGACACCTAGAGCAGGGCCCCATTGTGCCAGGTATTCTACAAACAGATATGGTATGGCTTCACAGCAGAGGGTACCAGGATACAGGTACTCTGGCTTGCCAAGCCCACCTGTAAATGTCCACACTGCAGAGTCACATACAACTCATACCAATGTCCACGCTGCAGTTACCCAAGTTTAGCGCTAGGATTTATGGGGGTATATCCCCAGGTTCTTAGCACCTGACTACCTTGAGCCAGTCTAGGAATTTATTGGTGATGTATTGTGGGAAATCTTGTCTGTCCTTGAGTAAGAGGCAGTTCCTACTTTGAAGAGCTAACCATCTAATTGGATAAAACCACCCATTGGAGGGAAGGGAAACAAAAGGAAAACTGACTTTCTTGAAGCCCACTTAGCAGCACAGTGGCAAAGCTGGAAAGAAAACCCCCATCTGCTGAGTTACAGAGCAGTGTGTCTTGCAGTAGACCATGCTATCTTGTTCACAGCCTCAGCCAGTCACTGATCATTATATTCAGGATGAGGAAGGAATTTTTTCCCCCAAGGCAGATTGGCAGGGACCCTAGGGTTTTCATAATCCTTTATGACATGGGGTGTGGGCCACTAGCTAGGTTCATCTGGGTATAGATCATATAATCAATTCCATGCTATTGCAGGTCCTCAGGCATTGGTCATCGCAGTCCCTCCTGTTCTCTGCCTGTGGCACATAAGAGATTAGTATCCTGGGGGCTGTAATACTTTGGTCTAATTCTGGTTGTTGGGTTTGGTGTGGTGGTGGCTGGGGGGCGTTTAGTGGTCTGTGATATACAGGAGGTCAGACTAGATGATCTGGTGGTCCCTTTTGACCTTAAACTCTATAACTCTAGTAGTGACAATGAGTCCTACCACTCCCTATTCCCAATGTTCCACGTGTATGCAAATCTTGAATATGTAATTAAAAATAATCAGACTAGAGATAGCGTATAAATTTTATTCCCAGTTTCTCCAACAACCAGTGCAATCCTACCCTCCTCTCATAGTATTGTTGCAGTCAGATGAATGGAACATATTTATGCACACACAAAAACTTCTCACCACCCTGGCTCTTAACATACTATGAAGAGTAGAAATACCCCTCCACACTTCAAATTTTCATGCTCAGTGTTTGATGAAAGGAGATTCTTGAAAGAGGGGAAAATCATCCTTTAGTTTCTTTTTAGATAAGAACTCTCATTTTACAGGGATGGTCATAGTCTAATGTCTAGTGAGATAATTTTACATGAATCATCCATTACAGAATGTTAACACTTATGTTTGTATCTTGCAAATAATTGAACTCAGAGTAATCCTTTGTTAGCAAACATCTGGAATGATAAGTGAGAAAGGAAGAGAAGAGATGTTCTAAGACAGATTTTAAAAAACTGTAATGTTCCTTTGTTTCTTTGTTCGAAAATCCCAGAGCATGTGTGCCTATCCTTTCTTATAACGATTCAAACTCTACCTATCGAGGTAAATCAGTAGGCCATGAAAATAAAAATAAACTGCCATAGCTAAGCAAGAGAGAATCCAGATCATAACTTGGTTAGGAAAGGAAAGGAAATTATATGCTCGGTAGAGTCTTGCTTCTTCTATTAAAATTCCGAACTCCCTCTTTCCACCTTCCACTTCAACAATATAGTCAACCACCAACTCTACAGTAATTATATAATGTTATGTCAACAGTATAGTTGCACGCATACTTGAGTGAAATATACGCTTTGTCAACCCAAGACCCATGGATAATGAAAAAGGAAAAGACAGCAAGATCTCTAGGGGAAGGGATGAGGAATTATCATAGAATCACAGAATATCAGAGTTGGAAGGGACCTCTGGAGGTCATCTAGTCCAACCCCCTGCCCAGAGCACAGGGTTACAGACAGGATACACTATAAAGAGTAGACAGAAACATTTCCCTGCTTTGCACAGCGAGTCTTTGATCCACAGTTGTGTAACTGGCAGAGGTGCCTCACACACACAGTATTCAAAACTTTCCTAGATTCTAAGAAATGAACACATTTCAAAACTCAAGTCATCTATACTAAAGGCTTTTCTCAATAGGTTCTCCACACTATTCCTCATTCATTCTGTGTTAGGAGGAATGCAGAATAACCCTATTTTATACCATATCCCAAATACACATAAGCTAGTGAACACTAGAAGAGGGCCAAATTCTCCTCACTAGGGCTGACATTTGATCCATTGTGTCTTGTTTCACTTGAGCATCTCAGTAGCTTGCTCTTTTGACATGATTTATTTTCTAGATATCTCTGTATTGTGAATAATTATTTTTCTCATTTGCCTTTTGTGCACATACAAATTCTATCTACCTTCAAGGGTGAAGCTCCTGTGTATAGCTGACGGAGGTTTTGGAATTCACTCCTGTAGCAACTAAAAATAATCAGGTCCCTCAGGTCCAAATGCAAATCCCACTGTCTTTGACCTTGCGTCCCCACACAAAAACTCCAAATCTATTAGCATTTCTGGGACACTCACAAAAATCTAACACAACTTATTCACCCTGGGGGTGGGGGGGGGAGTTTGAAGAGGAAACTTTACTGATGGTAAGTTGTATGATTTTTAAATCTGAAAAATACTCAAACATGGTGATGGGCATGGTATAAGAACCTAAATAAAAAAGAGCTGGAAACATTTTTGATCAGAGAGAGAATACGCCATACTGAAAAGGGAAATATCTTTTATCATGATTTTGGTTCAGTACAGAGTACAAGTCAGAGTCAGCTGTGGACTCTTTTAAGTTATTCCAAATGCATGAAAACAAAAAATATTTTCCACCTTTAGCCGTAATTATATGTATATTTCTCTTGAGATAAACATATGCATTTGCTTTAACAGACTCTCTCTTTTCTGACAATATCCCGCCCCTCCCCCCCCGCCCCACCTTCCCCCCAACCCCCAGGCAAACTTCCTTTTCAAATTATCAGTGGCTGAAGGTTTGGGTTGTTGTTTTTTTAAAGCAAACAAATAAATTACCCATCTTTAACTAGATTCATGTGCATTTGGGAATATATTAAGTGTTTTACATTTTCTTTAATATTGCATTACAAATCCTGGAAGATTGTTCCTTGCAGTCTGTGTTCACAGATACATTCATCGGTGAATGAAAGCCTAATTTTCTAATGGCATTTAAGATTATTTTAGTAACAGTGCACATATGTTATCAGAGGAAGAAACAAAATTTTAAAGTCTCTTCTCTGCTATGTTTGTTGTTTTACTCTTTGACCACTATACCCAAGTGAGTTTTGGCAGCTCCAGGATACTAAATCTTCATTTCTCACCATCCAGAAATGTTGAAGTCAGTAGCTCTAATTTTCCAATCTGTTACACCACTTTTGTGCTAGTATAATTCTACTGAAATCAATGGCCTTACACCATCAAAAAACTGGTAAAATATAGGGGAGAATCTGTCCTAGTATGTATAGACTGCAGACTTGGGAGTATATGTTTTTTCACATCACAATAATGCTAAAGTATGTTTTTCAGTATTGTTTTACTGCAATTTAAAAGGAAATACTTTAATCCAGATTAGCACACTGAAACTACCCCATTTGGGTACTGTGTTAGTCAAAGCTGAGTTTCAGAGTACTTATTGTGGTAGAATTCAAATTTGGTCTCATAATATCCTAGAAACATGCTTTAAAATTGTATGAATACAAATCTGGCTACTCCCTTTCAAACCAAGGTAAATTTTAAATGAGAACCACAAAGGAAAAAACGATAATGTTTGCACCCTATTTTTCTTCTTTGTGATATATAAAAAAACCCTGAATTTCTTTCCCACATAAAATACAATTCTGTTTGTGGCTCCCCCCCCCCCCCCACCAATCTCAGTTATGTCTTTCCTGTTTTTATTTAAGAATTCTTTGGAGAACTAGATAAGTGATAGGTTACTCAGCTCTTTATTACACAGAGAAAGCTTTTCTCCCAAATGTTTTTCAGATGTTAGAGTTAAATATTTAGTTACAAAAGCAATCATACTTGCTCAAGTTTTAGTCCTTCAGTATGTCCCACTAGTTTGCCTGTCTTCCAGCACATGCAAGTGACAACCTAATATTTAAAATGTAAAAAGTATGTAGAATAAAACCTGTAAATAAATAAATCAATAAATCAATAAATATAAAGTATATCGAGCTACTCAATGCAGTAGAAAGAAATAAAAAGGGTGTGTCTACACTTTGTTTTCCTTTTGTTTAGGTCACCTTTACAAGTCGTAACTTAGAGATGGCTTGTGTGACAACCTGAATACCTAACATCTGATTAGTGGAATTTGTCATAGTTTTTACTCCACTGCATGTTAACTATTGCTACACAGGCCATCTTTAAAACTATTCTTAAATAATCTATTTTATACATTGCTCTATTTTTCATTATTAATACCTTTCTGAGGATAAGTTGCGAACACAGCTCTCTTTCCACAGGCAGAACTACTGTTCCTGGAGTAGTCATCTCCAGCTGTGGTGCAGAAGTCTAAAAATAAATGGAGATACTGCAGCCTGGTGAGACTGTTATACCCCTGTGGTGATGATTCTTGCTCCTCGGTGAGTTACACTAGTTCAGAACATCTAGTCCACCGGGGCTGCTCCGGTGTATTAGCCAAGAAAGGTTTTGAAGTAGCGGCCTCTTTCTTGCAGATGGGAGAGGAAACGTGTCTGTTCATGTTAAGCACGTAATAAAATGCATTGAAAAGCCTTTCAAGTCAGCAGCAGCTCTGACATAGCATGGTGCCACGATGAGCTGTTGCTAAGACCTGGATTCTGAAAAAATATAGATGTGTAATCAGGGTTCTACAAATCAACTGAGCGAAAAATCATTCAATAAAAAACCTATACCTCCACAAAATCTTCCCTTTTGTTTCTGATTCGCAGCTGGAGGACATGTGCATTAACCAGCCTCTGAACAAAATCACTGGCATGTCACTGAAATGGCTTTTGTCCCTCTGAACAGCCTTCCATGGGCATTTTTGCCTATTTCTCCAAAGAGACTGTGAGATCTTGCCATAGACTTTCTTCATCAGAGGAAAGGCAAAGACATCCAGAAATAATATCAAGCTATCAAAGCCAGAGCCACAGACTAAAGGAAGCCAGCTGCTGAAATAGAAATTAAGGAAATCAAAGGGCCTCTTGAAATAATAAAAAGGGCTCTTAAATAACTGCAGCAAAAGCCAACTGAATTGAAAGCAAGCACTAACTCCAGTTCCTGAAAGAGAGAGAAATCAGTTGTGTTTATACAAAGAAATCTGTTAATTCACTTGTAATAAGCACCAGTAGTTCTCCTTGTCCACACCTTCACGGGGAGAGACAGGTCAGTGATAGCACCCCGGGACGCACCCACAGCCCAGGCACACGAGTCCGTGGCCCCAGGAGTCCTAGTTCCCCGATCAAATCCTGAGATCCTGCTCTTCCCACCCCTCTCAGAGCTGGGGGTAAACCCAGGAGTCCTGGCTCTCAGCCCCCCTCTAACCCACTAGACCCCACTGCCCTCCCAGAGCTGAGGATAGAACCCAGGAGTCCTGGCTCCCAGCACCATCCGCTCTAACCCACTGGACCCCACACAGTTAATGATCGAATTTAGGTTCTTGCTGCTCCTCCCTCAACAGGTTCTCTCGGGCGCTGGGGTCAGGGGTCTCTCTAGTTCCCCCTGGCAGTGCAATGGGAGCCCCCATCCCCCTGATCTGGGCTCCCCCTTCTGCGGCCAGTCAGGTGCAGAGTCAGAGCCGAGGCCTGGCTCTTAAAGGCTGTGAGGCCTTGAGCTGGAGGGAGGGCAACGTGCCCCACCCCTGCCCCCCCAAACCATTTACTGCTGCTTAGTGCAGACGGGGAGGCCTGGCAACTCCACAGCACCCCCTGGCCAGGAAACTGGGCAGCCAGGCAGCCAGAGGAGCCCCATGAGGGCACCCTGGCCTGAGCAATGGGCACAGGGGCAGTGCCTGAGCAGGGCTACAGGAAGGGCCCCGGAGCAGGGCCCTGCCCCACCGAGCCAGCATGGGATAGGAACCGATGGGGGAAGAGGGACTGTGCCAAGTGTCAGGGTCAGGGAGGTTCCCCAGGCCATGGTGAGTTTGGGGAAGGGGCTGGATGCAGCAAGAAGCAGGGAGCTGCTGCAGGGATGACACAAGGGGTGGGCAGGGGACTGGTTGCAGGAGGCTCAGAGACACAACATGGTATCTGAACAGCCTGCAGGAAGGGAGGGAAGTCCCCCCTCCCTGCAGAGAACGGGCTGGGGGGCTGCTCTGGGTGTGTGTCTCCATCCTCCCTCCCTCCCTGCAGAGAACGGGCTTGGGGGAGCATGGAGGGCGGACACTGCTCGGAAGGCAGTAGCAGGGAGCAAAGGCCACCAGATCTGACCCCAGATCTGACCCCAGATCGGAGCATGGGCGTGGCGCACTGGCAGGCTTGCAGGCACCGAGAGGTGGGCAGAGGGAAGACAGGGCTGTAAAGCCGGGCTGGACACAGGCCCTGGGAAGCGGCTGGCCGGGGGGCGCCCTGCATAGCAGGAGGGCTTGCCAGTCTGAGCAGTGCTATTCCCCACCAGCCCCACAGGCCTGGGCCCCACCTCCAGGAGCACCCCCCTGCAGCAGCAGGCCCCGCAGTGCTCCCCCTGCAGGCCTGTGGCATTACCATTCTTCAGGAAGATGTAGATCAGGATGATGCGGATCTTGTCGTAGGCCTGCACGCTGGGGTCCAGCAGGACAGGCAAGATGATCTTCATGGGGTCCTTGATCTTCTTCCCGTCCACGTCCGTCCCCATAGCCAGGTCCTGGGGGCAGGGGGAAGGGGGCGCACACACAAGGCCCAGGTCAGGCCACTCTGCTTCCTCCCGCCCACGCAGCAGGATGGGAGATGTGACGGCCCCCTGACCCACAGCTCGCCTACCCCGTGCCAGGGCCCCCTCCTCCCTGGGGTCAGCTCCCTCTGGGGTGAGCAACTGGCCCCCAGGGAGTAACCCGAGCCCCATGTCCTCCTTCTGCACCCCTGGTGCTGCATGGAGGGGCTGACCCTGGCTCCAGCGAGCCTGCGGCTCTGAGACCCCTCTCTCCGGGCTGAGTCCATGAGCCAGACTCTGCCCCAAGCCAGGCTCTGCCCACAGACCCACCTGCTCCAAGCTGCACAGCTTCTCCACTCTTCCTTTGAAGTGCTGCATGCAGTGCTCGGCCAGGTTCAGATGCGTGGAGTACTGCGGGGAGAGACCGGGGCACAGGGGGAGTTTACCGTATCACTGGCTGGTCCAGAGCACCTGCACCCACGGCTTCTCTGTTAGTCACCACGAGGTTGGGGGCTTGGAGATCAGCAGGTGTCGGGGTACCTGTGCCAGTGGCCAGGAGCTTTCTGTTGGCACATGGCTCAGTGGCACCAGGAGTGGCTCCAATAGGCTGGTTTGGAAGCCCACCAAGGCCCTCTCCCGAGAGCTGCAGCAGCAAGGCACGGGCTTTACCCAAGGGCTGCCCTTGGTGGGGCTAACGTGGCAGCTCTGGGCACTGACAGGCAGGCTGCTGCCCATGGTGCCACACAGCACCTGGGGGAAAATGGCTCTGCCCAACGGGACAGGTCAGCAGCTCTCATCAGGCAGTAAAGCGGAGTGCCACAGAGTGCTCTGCCCCCCAAGAGAGTCCCTACTGTCCCTCACCAGCCCCACAGAGCACCCTGCCCCTCCCATCAGCCCCACTGAATGGCCTGCCCCCTGCCCACTAAAAGCCCAGCCCCGTTACCCTGTTCAGCTCCTTCTGATACTGGGGCATCTTCTTCAGGATCTGGGACAGGTCCTCGATGTTGGCCTGGAGGGAGGCGGTGGTGAGATCCCGGCCGCTCCCAGCGCTTGGAGCCCCCTGCAGGGCAGAGGCAGCAGGGCGGGTCACTCAGGCCATGCGTGGCTGCGGCTTAGGTTAGACCTGCCCTTTCCAGGCCAGCTGGAACGAGACGGGAGCCCCGCAACCCGAGCACCCCTCAAGGTGTAAAGCAGCAGCGGGCCAGGGAGATGCCAGCGTTGGCTCCCTGCAGCTCTCCCTGCACGGTCCCGATCCTGCTGTCTGACCCCGCCCCATGGGCCTCTGCCCTCCCCCACTGTGGGGAGCTCCAGAGCTCTGGCTGGGGGGCAGGGGACTCCACATACACCTCTAAGCCCTTTACAGGCAAACCCTGGGAGCAATGGGACAGCCCCCCCGCCCCCGCCAACCCCTCCTGGGGCAGCAGGGAAGCCTCCCCTCCCCATCAGTGGCAGTGGGATGGGTCCCCCTGTCCCTCCGGCCTGAACTCCCCAATCGCTCCCCCCAACCCCTGCCGCACCTTGTCCGTGGTCAGCCTCTTGCTCTCATAGAAGGTGCGCAGCAGCTCCGTCACCTTCCTGCAGCAGGGAGAGGGGTCAGGACGGAGCCAGGCACTGCCTTGGAGGTAGGGGGTACCCTGTCCTATGCTACAGGGGATGGAGCCCCCGCCCCACAGGCACCAGGGTTCTCTGCCTCAAGAGCCTCAGACAGGCTGGGGGAGGCCCTCTTCCTAAGTTACCCCAAGGCAGAGTTCAGTGCACCTCTGGGGGCTCCTGGCGCCCTGCTGGGGGGGCCTGGGGGCAGCGGCAGGCCCAGCAGGAGGTCGGTGAGGGACTCACTCAAGGGAGCTGTACGGTGCATGGGGAGACCCTGGAATCGGGGGAAGACAGTGTCCAGGGGGATCCCCAAGAGGAGATGTGGACAGTGGCTCTGGAAGGGAGCGCTCAGGGGTCCTTTGGGGAGAGGGGCTGGGTCCAGGGGGTCTCAGCACTCAGAGAGGAGTATGTCTGAGGGACAAGCTCCAGCACTGGGTGGGAGGGGGGAGGGGGGCCCTGGCACTGCGCAGGAGAGGGGTGTGTTGCGGGGGGTGGGTGTCCCTGCACTGGGTGGGAGAGGAGTGTATCCAAGGGGTAGTGGGGTTCCAGCACTGGGTGGGAAGGAAAGGGGAGGGGTGTGTCTGAAGGGGAGGATGGGGGAAGTCCCGGCACTGGAAAAGAGGGGGAGGGGTGTGTCAACGGGGTGGGCTATCCTGGCACTGGGTGGGAGAGGTGTGTCCAAGGGGGGAGTCCTGGCAGCGGGCGGGGAGGGGAGGGCTGTGCCAAAGTGGGGGTAGGGGGTCCCAGCATTGGGTGGGGAGGGGAGAGGGGGGGAGTAGTGTCAACAACCAAAAAAACAACCCAAAAAAAAAGGGAAGACACAAATATAAGCAAACAAACAAAACAACAAAAAAACAAAACACACACAACCTCCCCCCCTGCCACACACCACAAAGCACCCACCCCCCCCCCCCCCCAAGCTCCCCCAAGAGGGGACCCCACCAAGCCAAAGGGCCAGAAACCCAAAAACAAACAAAAAAAAACTAAAAAAAAAAAAAAACAAAAAAAAAAAAAAAAAAAAAAAAAAAAAAAAAAAAAAAAACATGGAGAAAAAAAAACAAGAACCTAAAGAGAACCCAACCTAAAAAAAGAAAAAAAAAAAACCAAAAAAAAAACAACCAACACAAACAACAAAAAAAAAAAACCCAAACAACACCCTCCCCTCCGGGCATGCGTTCCCCAAAAGCCGGAAACCAACACCCTTACCCAACCCTAAGAGGAGAAAAGGGAGAAGAAAAGCACCAAAAAAAAAAAAAAGGAGAAAACACACCGGTCCAACCAAAACAAACCCCCACAAACCTCCCAAAAAAAAAACAATAACCCACCAAATACAAAAAAAAAAAAAAAAAACAAAAAAAAAACAAAAAACCCAAAAAAAAAAAAAAAAAAAATCAAAAAATCACATCCCATACGAGTCCCAATTGAAGGGGGACCCTAGGGGGGCCACGACATGGGGAAACCCGAAACCACCGCCACCCCAACATTCCCACCCAACCCCTTCCCATCCCTTACTCGTTTTAATCCCACCCCCCCCTTCTTTTTCCCCCCCCTTTTGGGGGGGGGGTGGTCGATAGCACTCGCAGGCCGCATGTGGAAAGTTTGCGCACCCCACACCCCTTGGGCCCCCCAAAAATTTTCCCCCATTGACTATCACCTTCTGCGCCCACTGGGGGCCCCCGAGGGGCCGGCCCCAGGAAACTCCACACAGGGGGGACATATAGGTTGGGGTCAGGAGTGGAGCCTGTCCACATCCCCACCCATCTGGCTGACGGAGTCTATGGCCTTGGGACCCAGCAAGGGGAGCAAGACACCGGGGCTTTTCCGCAGGGTCCCCCTGGTTCAAATCGCCAGCCTGCTCAAAGGCAGTGAGGTGGCATCCACATGCCACCCCTCCTTAACCAGGGGCAGCAATTTAGTCTCGAGGTTCCCTGCGGAACTGGCCCCCGGATCTATCCCCACCTCACCCCTGGGAGGTCCCCTCGGCCTCTCCGCCCCACCACCGCCAGTTCATGCTGCTGCTGCTTCTGCAGCTCTTTCTCGGGCTCTCGCTGTCTCCCCAGGGTCCTCTTGCTCTCTCAGACTCAGCTCCAATTCCGTCCGTCTCGATCCCCCGATGGGGAACCCGATCGTGAAGACCCCGTCTGGTCGGGGACAGGAGTCTTGGCGATGCCTGGCTCCTGCTTCAGCTGCTCCCAGATCCTGCTATAGCCCCAGTTGGGGTCAGGGAATCTGTTCCTTAGAGCGGTCATCCTCCTCCAGCTGCACGATTAACTCTGCTTTGGTGAACTTTCCAACGCTCAACCCTCTCTTTCTGCACAGGGTTACAATGTCCTTCTTAAGGAGACGGGGACAGGCCATCACTCCGCTCCTCCCAAGTTGTTGTGGACTCACAGGCCCGTGTGTTCTCAGCTCCCCACGGTTTCCAGGGAGAACCCCTAGTGTGCCAGCCCCCTTCTCGAGGTCACCACCTCTTTGCCAGGGTCGAGCTGCAGACTCCTCCGCCCCTGAGACTGCTCACTGCAGTCCCCAGGGGGACCCCATTACTGCACAGTCCTTCTCGCTGGTCACACACTCCCAGGGGTTAACCGCCCCCCGAAACCGCTCCTTTCTGAGCCTTCAGCAGGCCTGGTCCTCGGCAATCCCCCTTCGTGTTACTGCTCCCCAGTCACTTACTGCAGGAAGCGCCATCCACGGGGTGCAGTACATCCCACCGCTGCCACCAGTTGTCACGGAGTCCCTGGGCGATGCTCTGGAACTGCTCCCCATGAAGTCAGTCAGGACTCTGGGGTAGTCGCCTTTCTGTGAGCAGACTGTCTTCAGGACACACAGCTCACACAGCTTCCACCTTCCTGGGTCTGACCTCGGAGCATTCAGCATCCTCTGCCTCTCCGTGTGCTTCCCCCAGCGAGTCCACCCAGGCGGGGTCCTGGGGAAGCCAGAGGGTCCTGCACCCCAACTTCGCAGTCAGACGTGACTCTCAGCCAGCCAGTAAAACAGAAGGTTTATTAGACGACAGGAACATGGTCTAAAACAGAGCTTGCAGGTGCAGAGAACGGGACCCCTCAGCTGGGTCCATTCTGGGGGGCAGTGAGCCAGACAACCACGTCTGCACTTCACTCCATGTCCCAGCCAGCCCCAAACTGAAAACCCCCTCCAGCCCCTCCTCCTCTGGGCTTTGTTCCTTTCCCGGGCCAGGTGGTCACCTGATTCCTTTGTTCTCCAACCCTTCAGCTCTCACCTTGCAGGGGGGGAAGGACCCAGGCCATCAGTTGCCAGGAAACAGGGTGTTGGCCATTCTCTGTGTCCAGACCCCTGCACACACCTGCCCTCTAGGGCTCTGCAATGATCATACACCCTTACTCCACCCCCTAGATACTTAAGAACTGCCTAGGGAAACTGAGGCACCCCCCCCACTATTCAGAGGAAACATTAAGAACAGTCCCACTTCGTCACAAGTAGCAAGACCCGGCACTAGGCAGGGCACAGAGGGGTGTGTCCAGGGGTGTCCTGGCATTGGGTGGGGCACGGAGTGGTGTGTCCGGTGGGGGGATGGGTCCTGGCCCTGGGTGGGGCACGGGGGGGTATGTCCAGTGGATGGGTGGGGCATGGAGGGGTGCGTCAGGGGTCAGGGCCGAGCGCGCTCACTTGGAGACGTCAGCGATGTGCATGTGGCGTAGCTGCACCCAGAGTTCGTCGTCTTCGTCCAGCAGCGCCTCTTTCTCCTGCGAGTCGCTGATGCCCATCGTCTCGTACCTGCAGGGGGGAGATGGGGTCAGGCTGCGGCACCCCTTGCCCGAGCGTGGGGGCTGCGGAGCAGTGCAGGTGCCTGGGCCACATCCCCCCCAGCCCGCCTGAGGAGGGGTGCGGGGCGCCCCCTGCTGGCAGCCAGGCCCTACTTGTAGGTGTCTTTCTCGATGCTGAGCAGGTCGTAGGCCATGGCCTGGTAGGTGAGCTCGTGCAGCAGTGGGGACACCAGGTCGAAGCTCCGGTCCACGATCAGCAGCTGAGAACGGGCTTTGTCGGGGCCCTGGGGCACAGGAGAGAGAAACCCGTCACCTCCTGCTCTGGCAGAGGGTTCCTGGCTTTGCTTACACGGCACAATCCAATGGGCCCTGGTGGCCTGAAACTTCACTACCCACCCTCTCTGTGGCCCAGCCCCCAACCCCAGGGGGAAGCCAAGAGACACCCCCCAAGCTAGCTGGGACGTGCCCTGGGGTCCTGCCCTGACCAGCTGCACTGCAACGGACGGGCTACCTGCCCCTCATGCAAATAGCAATGCCCCCCTCCCCCAAGCATGCTCTCTGCTCGTGCCTCTCCACCTACGGGAGCATGCCCCTTACAAGGCAGCTCCCTGACTGCCCCCTGCTCCATATGCTGTGTGGGGACGGGGGGAACTACACCAGAAGGGCCTGGCTAGTCTATCATGAACCAACACCAGGCCCAGAGACTCTTTGATACAAGGTCCCAGAGGGGGACGACAGGACATTATCCCTATGCCCCACCTTGCATCTGAGCTGGGACCCCATATGAAGCTCTAGCTCCCCAGTCCCAGCCTGTGTGGCCCCCCAGCATCCAGTGGGACAGAGACCACTCCAATGGTCAGCATCTCAGACCCACATCATGGGGGGGCTGGCCCAGCCCCCGCTTCCTGCCTGATCAGCATGCACTGCCCTCTTTGCGCAGCAGGTGGCGATAGGAGACCAGCCCTGCGCTCTCATGGCAGAGGGCTCTGAAACCGGCTCCAGCAGCCCCAGTGGAACCCAAGCCCACCCAGGAGCACCTCGGCAAGGGGGGGGCTGCGTCTGCTCTTTGCTGGGTAGCACAGACAGTCAGGAGTGGGTGGGGTGGGGACGTACAGCCCCTGATGCTATCCCAACTGTCCCACCTCAGTACGTGGCCCGATTTTCAGCCACGCTCGGGAGCAGAACGTCTGACCGGCCACCACCCATCCGCCTGGCAGGTCTCCACAGCCTCTGGGTAAATGGGTTGAGGCTGACGGGGGAGCGCCTCTCTTGGAGGAGTATCTGGCCCCCACCACTGTAGCACTATCATTGCTGCATCCTGCCCCCCCATGCACGTGGGGCTGGGCAGGGCTGTCACCCATTGCAGAGGGGGATGGAGGCCCAGAGGGGCTGGGTGACTCACCCAAGGTCACACAGGGAGTCTGTGGCAGAGCAGGGACATGAACCCAGAGCTGGCACCATCATTCCCCTCTAGCCCTACCCAGCCTGGATGGGTTGCTATGCTCAGCCCCCGCCCCCACCCCCCACGGGACTCTGCTCACACCCTTTGCCAGTTCGGCTCTGCTGGAGGGATCCCCGAGTGCAGATGGGGGCTGGCGTAACCACCGGGTCACCCCACCCTGCCCAGAGCAGAGGGGGTGGTTAGTGCACTGGTGGGTGCCACAGCACTGCCTGTCCCAGCTACCCCTCAGGGCTGGCAGCTGGGAAACATCAAGGCAAGAGGGACTAGTGCAGACAAGGCCCCAGGGTGCCGGGACTGCGGGCTGGGTGGCTTTGGAGACCAGAACAGTCGGGTTTCTTAGGCACCTGGACCCCAGCCTGGGCAGCCCAGCCCACTGAAGGTTAAAGCAAGAGGCCGTTCTGGTCAGCCCAGAGCCTGGCCGAGCTGCAGAGAAACCTGTTTTCAGCTCCGGGTCTCTCACTCAGGGCCTGTCTACATGTAAACCACTTCAGCTGCTCCGCTTCAGTGACTCCGCCTTTCCCATACCCCCAAGCAACGCAGTGGCACCGACCCAATTGCCTCGTGTAGACCAGGCCTCGGCCTGACCTTGGTCAGTTCTCAGGCGAGAGCTCCCAGCTTCCCGCACTCATCCCCCAGCTCAAACCTTCCCAACCCTGTGTTCTCGAGCTGGGGGCCCTGCTCCAATTCCCTGCTGGGAGCATCCAGCCAGGAGCCATTGGAGCCGGCACGGTCTTTCTGGCCCCCAGGCTGATCTGTGTTGGATTCTCTTCATTTCACCAAGACAGGGAGGTGACACCCCCACCCCCCGGCATGACTCTTACCTTCCCCGAGAATCCTTCCTTTCACCCCCTGCCAGAGAAGCCAGGAAATATATAGGGAAACTGAGGCACGCATCAGATTCATAAAAGATATTACAAACATTCCCAGTTGGTCACAGGTGCACAGTCTCCCAGCAGCTCAGCAAAGGCTGGGAAGCAAGAGCAGAGGCAACAGGAGGGAGAGATCTGGGCAGGCCTTGGATTTTACATCACTTTGCTTCTCCTAGGGGGGTAGGAGCTACT